ATATTTAGCGAGAAGGACTATTTATTTATGATCACGCGATTCGTTGTGAATGCAATATGAAGTTTCCTCTTTCGAAGATCAGTTTTCCAAAAAAAAAATGCTGGACGATATTCCAGTATTTTCGAAGCCCTATACTCGTGCAACACGCACAAAATTTACTGCTGCAGACGTCACGTGCAAGTGCAGCGGACGTTTTTGAAAACATTTGCCTGTTGGTATTTATTTTAGCAAGATTTCGCAGTCTCAACAACAAGAAATTTTAAACAGATCAATGTCTTTGGATTAAAAATTTCGAATTTGTAAGAGCGGTGAAAATATTAGAGTTTACAAGAATTCAACCGAAAATGGGTGAGTAAAACAAACATGAAAAATTTAAAAAGACGATTCAGAAGGGTAAAGAAGCATAGAAGGAATGATGCATTTCGAGAGTGGAAAAGTTTCAGTCTTTGAAAAGGGATTCAAGAAAAAGCCTGATTAAGCAGAAGGTAAGTATGAGAGTTAGTAAGTAAATACTTAAGTAAATGGATGAATTGTACAAGGATGGCAGGGTTGATCGATATTTGCAGAGAACAGAGGCTCAGAAGGCAGAAAATTAGTAATCGTAGGACGAGAGCCAAGCATGTTGTTATTTGGGCACGCTGAAAAAGTGTTTTGTTTTCGACACACCTTTTATGATTTCATGAAAAGAGAGGTTCTTCCCATATGCATCATCCCAAGTGGCATTCTTCCCAATTTTCCTCTTTTCCTATAGGTAATAAGATCGTAGGAAATCACGGCGATATGTCGTCATTCAAGAGTCTTTCTCAACAAAAGCTTTATTGTCATCAACAAGAAGTTTCAGTCCATCGGCAAACATATCTGATCCATCCAAAATGTCACAAAAATAATTTGTTATGAGTAGTTTTAGTACGTACACTTTTTCAAATTCAAACCATAACCAACTCATATTGCATTTCGCAGTAAAGTAATTTATCCGAGCTGAAGTTTTCGTACCAGATGGTGATCGAGCACACCGGACTTTAATTACGCTTTTCCCTAATTTATGAAATATTTTCAATGAAGAGAGAAAGGAGAGAGAGAGTTGTAGGATGGATATTACTGCAGATGCTGACAGATAAACTAAGATCCTATATCTCTATTTCTTAGAAGCTAAAATACATTGTTTATTGGATAGTCAGTGTTTTGCCATCAAGAAATATCGTAGCAAAAGCAATGGGCATTGGTTGTCACTTAAACTGGTAGATAAATAGGAATATAAATCAAGCTATAGCATAAAAAGTAAAAGATTTCAGTTATTTGAAAAAAAAAAACAAACATTCAAAGATTAGGAGATGTAATATATGGGTTGGAAAAAAAGTGTCGGAAAATTTTTAAAGCACTGAGTGCTGTCAGTGTGAACATTTTAAACCTATTGAAGTGAAGAAATAATTGCTTAATCCATAAGTAGAGTGAAATCTTGAATGAAAGTTTGGGAAATTTCTCGTGCAACTCTTCTAATAAACATATCCACCACAACTGTCCACCACTTCAATGTATCATTAATTACTGCTACTAATATAATACAATGCTAGAGATATAGTTCCACACTGACCAGGCTTCCCAAACAAAAAAAGTTACAAGCATACAGCTGTCAATACTTTGGTTTGGTTCGCAGATTGTCGTTAGTAATGAGAATGGCCAAGTCCTCGTCAAACAATATGAAGCAATAGAATATCCTCAACTTTTTGGAAAAAAAATTTTTTTTTTGGTGTCAGTTTGTTTTTGAGAATAACAAATGGAAAAATAAGCCAGAAATAATTTAGAAAAGAATGGATAAACAAGTGAGAAAGAGTAATTTAGAATAGAGTAGAATATAGAAGGGGAAGCTTTCCATAATATTCATTTCATTTTGCAAAAAGTTTGAAAATGATTAATGAAAGAAATTTGAAAATTATCGATATAAAAAAGTTAAAGGGGGAAAATGAAATAGATTTAAATTCAAACTTTTTTAAAAGGTTCGTGGAGTTTATAGATGAAATGACATTCTAGAGAGGAAGAGAAAAAAGAGGGAAGATTGTTTCTAAACTGAGAGGTTAAATTTAGCAGGAAATATGAGGAATTTATAATTGCATAAAACTTGAAAGTAAGTTTGCTTTAAAATATTTCTCAGACGGTAATTGAACTCTTCAAACGCTTTTGCATATCTCATTCATTATCTCATTTCAACGTTGCTCTGTTAATCAATAATAAAAGTAAATGATAACAACACCTTATGTACTACTTAATATTATTTGTAAACGTTGAAATTTCAAAAAATAATTTTTTGATAGACCTATGTATAACACCTTGGGCAATGTGATTTATATGAGAAATAAAGCACTGATGAATTCATGTACAATGTTAGGCTAGGCCCAACGAATGGCCTAAACGTACGTGTTTCAAATTGTTAGAGCAGTTGTTTCGCTTTCTTGGCTATTTGTATTCTTTGTCTCTTTCTCCACAAAATTGATTGTAAGATACTGAAATAAAGGAAGTGTAGGGAAATGGCCCAATATGCTTTTTTCTTTTTTTGAAAAATAAATACTTCCAATAATGTGTTTTAAGTAAGAATAACTATGCAACATTGGGATATTTTGGAGCAAAAAGAATGAACAAATAATATTTGCTTCTTTAATATGTACCACAATTCTACATTTTCTTGATTTGTACCAAATCCAATTATGCTTAGTCATTTGATTTAATTTAATTCTATTTAATTCCCAATACTATTTTCTTTGTTTTCTATATTGATTTGAAGTAAAATGAATTGAACAAACTTACACTGATGTGATTACACTCAGCGCTTTGATCTGTTTTATTTTCTCTCTGAATCGAATTAGAAAGAATCGATTTGATTCTACCTAATCTAATTTACCTCTCTTAAAAATACCCGCAATTTGGCTAAATTGAATTACCCTGAGTTAAAAGATATTTTAATTTCTTTTTTCTTTTTTTCCATTTCTCTATCAGCTCAATTCTCCTTTTTCCATTCTCTTTGCTTTTCTTGTCCGCATTAGTTCTTTTTTAATCCTATAGCATTTACCAAATTTCCACCCACTCGTCGGAACTTATTTTATGAGGTCAAAAAATTTATCACTCTGTAGAAACTGCGGAACTCCGGCATTTCAGGAATTGTAAAAATCTCGCCCTATTTAAGATTTTGTTCCTTTTAGTTAAATTCAAAAAATAAAATAAATAAATGAAAAAAAAGGAAAAGAAAAATAGTACCAAAGAATTCATTCATCTATAGAGGAGAGAGATGTTCTGCAAGTACGGAATCGCATTTTTAATAAAAAAGAAAAACAGTTGAAGCCATCTGAATTTTCTATTAAAAGTGTTTATCAACGATTATGAACAGAAGAATTAGTCTTCTCAAAACGAAAAAAAATCCATCCGAAAGTTGAAAATGAAATTTAACCATTGCTTTCTACTTATACTTTGTCTTAACAATGGACTCCATTTCATTCGAAATTCCCATTCTTTTCCCACTTCTCACTATAATGCTATTATTGCAGTACAAAAAATATTTAATGCTTCCTACATAAATATTTCGACTGTGTATTGATTGGTAAATGGGATAATTAAACACTGTAGTGATCCGATTGGAAGGACCCATGCAGATCAGAGACACAGGTTGGAAAATGACACCCACAACTGAGTTCCAAACTTCTGTCTTCCGCGCAGGCTCGATTCCTCTCTGAAACTGTCTCTTATCGCACTTGAAATTGTGCCACTCAGTACATACCTCTGAAGTAAAATAAAAAGTAATATTTGCAATCAATATTTACAATCAACCATACAACACCAAACAGATATCATTCTGGCATGGGAAATATTATTATATGGTACTTGAGCATAGGCTGTAAATCGCCCATTTAGGGTTTAAATGATCCTTGTATTTCAAGAAATTCAACAATATTTCAAACATATTTTCCAACAAAAAAATGCAAAAGAAATAGAATGTAAATTAAAACGGAGTAAAGAAAAATAATATCATTTAAACATACATGACATTATCTTAGTAATTTTACAAAAAGAACACATGTTGGAGGTAAATGTCGGAAGAACGTGAGACCAAATTTCTTGGCATTCTCTGTTTCTTCGTGGTTTCGTCTGTTCCATATTTTGAGAGTAGGAACAGGAGTTCCCAACAAACTTTCGTACAATTAGTTTCGAATCGTTTTTTTTGTTTTTTTTTTTTTTTTTTTCGAAACATCTGAGATTTTTAAAATCTCTGTTATACAAAAGTAGATCTCGATAGAAATTGAGATCCGTTTAAACAAATATTTTCGAAGCAACTGGAAATTGGTCATTAACTTATATTAACTGAAAGGAGCTGAGGATATAATACTTCTAGAATAACCAACAGAACCATATCCCTTCCCATGATTCGAAACAACATCATTGCAGTAAGCAAAGCAGTGAAAATGCATTAGAAAGATATTAAATTGTTTTTGGAAGAATTATATCCCCCATTCCACGTCCCCCATTTCATTAGATAATGCTGAAAAGTATTACACTGCAAATGAAAAAAGATGCTGTTTGAACTGGACCTAGCGCCGCACTGTAGATTTAATTAAAAGTAACACTAAGGAGCCAGATCGGTTCTTTTTTCTGCATTTCTAGTTAGGACGAGAAAAGATATTGAAAATGGATAGTGTTTGTTATTAAAGCTCAGACAGACTCTCTCTGCACTATTCTCTGAATAAGAAAAAGGTAGGTAAAAAAGAATATCATAAATCCGTTTTTCCCAAAAAATCTCATTATGTGACACTTTAGTAACAAATCAGAAGTTTTATTCGTAACATATGTTACAAGTCATCAGTTGACTATATCCAACGAAACAACCACGGATAAGTGAAAAAAAAAAAAGAAAAACTGTCTTTTTATAATCTTCTTTACAAACTAAAATGTGTTCGCTTACTGAGTTGGATAAGTCGAAATCAAAAACAAATATTAAATTCAAAATTTGCAACAAAAAATGACCACGAAACCTTGCAAATAGAAAAGAAGAAAGCTGAAAACTAAAACACAAAATCACTCAGTAGTAGATCACTGCAAAACTATTCCCAAAAATTTTTCTGTAAAGCAAATCAGAAAATTCGGCGGTACTTAAGCTGAAAATATATAAATAGCAAATTATGACTGGCGAACTGTAAAATTCATTTTCCAAAATTCTTTATCAAGATTTACTTCTGAACAGCTCCTTTCTCACATAAAGTATAGCCTTCCCACAGTGACATTGATGAAACGCGAAAGCACTACAATTCAGATAAACTAAACTGGATACCGACTTTCAGGAGCTAAACGATCCAAAATCTGCAAGCACTTACTTGAATAAAAGATGAAAATACCTTTCTGGATTCGCCTCAAATCACAACCATAATGATTAACTGAGGAACAAAGATTAAGGACGAAGATCTTAAGCCAATAAACATGTACGAAATTTACACCCTGATTTCATACTTCATGGACAAATCAGAGACACATGACGTAGCTGAAATGAATACTGTTCGGTCATTGAGGGAAAAAAAGAGAAAAGTAAGTTACCTGTTTTATTCCTGGTAAGCATAAAAAACTACCAATTACAGGAACTTGTCGAAGAAAATTGGTCGCAACTGGCAAAAAACCACTGAAAACAGTGCTAATTTATTTATATCTCGATAAAGAAAACCAATGTATATTTATGGCTTTTCAGAATCATGTATGCGACATGTTTACTTCAGTGAGACCGAAGCCTTCCTTTAGAACGCGCATCAGTTACGGAAGCAGGAAAAATTTTAATGACACCTAAGTGTACAAGATTTAATAGAAATTAAAATTCGAATCATAATAATATCCAAAGAATAAACAAATAGAAACTAATTTTATAGAAAACTAATTTAAAAACTGCCAAAAAAAAAGAGAAAAAAACTTGCCCAAACAAAAGGAAAAAGCCCCAAATTTCGGCAACGATCCCCAACAATGGCCAACCAATTAATACAACGATAATGCCGCCAAAAAATAACGAAGATGCCTTGACTTTATGCCTTTGAAAAAAGAATGCCACTGTTCGTTGGATTCCTATCACCAATACTAACCCGCTTATAAACAACAGCTGAAATAAAATGAAAGAGTAAAATAATCATGTTGCGGTTCTACGTTCCAAGAAAATTATTCGAAATAAGTAAACTAACATTTCCAATAGCGAGCAGTGCTCCATCCAAAAAGAGAATAATACCAAGTGTGAAGAATGTAACGCCAAATAATGTCAATCCAATACCAATTTCTGAAATTATTGATCGAACAATTGAAAAGCGAATGATCAAGAGAACGAAGAAGATTAACTATGCTCTATATAGATTTTACATCTTATGTCACCCATTAGCAAAATATTTAATACTCTTCCCGTTGCATCCCATCAAATTAAGAAGCTTGTTGAAAAAGGTGACGAATTGTTTAGTAACTACGCTTTCGTGTTAACCACACTGTCCAAGTCAGCATCTTCCGTTTTTCATACCGTCCCAAACAAATATGATTTGTCATAATTTTGAAAGGCAGCACTGGGATGTTATATTTAAAGTTTAAATAAGAAGGTTAGCTGTCAGTAGATTATTTAATCGTAAACACAAAAAAGAATACTGGTAAAAAATCTGACTGAAGTGGAAAGGAGCAAGAAACAAGATGAAAGCAATGTAACAAACGTACGTTTCGTGCTACTCAATTCAAAATTCATTACTGTCGGGCGACCAATCGCCTCACTTTAGTTCTTTAGTGTGATAAGAGAAAGAGTCTCTTATCACTTCAACAATTAAATCAGTTAGAGGATCTTCTGAAAATACCCCAATCCCGTGCACCGCCTCACAAACCAACTTCCTATCTTCTTCCATTCCTCATCCTCCAAACTTTAACGCGTCCCATCCCATCAAATCAGGAAGACCGTCGGGAATGGTGGTAAACTGATGAGGTATTTCAAAAGTTTCCAGAATGCAAGGAGTGCAGGGAGAGGACTAGTGATGAGGTATTTTAAGTATTTTCGTAATGGGAGCGCAAGGAGAGATCTCGAGAGAAATATTTCGAAGTTTATCAAGAGACAGAATGACTTGAGAGGAACGTTTCAGTTCATGAAATTTCGCAAAATCTTAAATATTCTAAGCATAAACAATCCGAAACAGTGTCTTTTATTAAGGTTCTCAATGTGTCCGTCATATCTTGCTTTATCTTCATATCTTCATATCTTGCTTTATCTCCGTCATATCTTGCTTTCCTTTTTTACCCTTAACTTAAATAGTTCCTCGTACAGCATGAATGAAATTCAGGATGTGAAGAAGACAGTTATGTAATTATGTGTATTTATCATAACTGATATCCTTTACTAGATTCACCAGCTGTGAATCTTTAATGTTTTTTTCAGACATGTTCCCCTACTGCATTTTATTTCTGATTGTCTTCATCCTATGCCTTCTGCGATTTCCATTTAAGACTCTCAAGCTTCTAACTGCATGAAACCTGGTTATGTTGTACAATTCTCTTTAAAATATATATGCGAAACTGCTCCTTAAAAAGTGGGACTCCTGCCCGAAATTATCGGTTTGTTTTTAGCAACTTCTCGAAGAATTCTCAAGAAAATGTCAAGTGAGGAGGAAGGGGAGGAAGTTAGAACTAATAATTCTGCAAATGATGATTCGGAAGTAGAATCTGCTGTTCAATTAGAGGATGTATCTAGCTCAACTGGTACTGCCATTAAGCGAAAAAGAAGCAGTCTTAACATCCCCACTGCCAGCACTGCTGATTTACCTACATGGTTGGCTGGTAAGGCTTTGCGATGAAATTACTGTTTTTAACAAAGCTAGTCTTTAATATGGAAATCTTTTCATTTTAGTAGGAAGGAAATTTCTTCAACTACTCATAAATTTCTCTCATTTTGACCAACTTTAAATCTGATTTCATTATGAAACCTAAACGTGTTCTTCGAACTACTTTAATATGTTAAAATCAAGGCGAGAGCAATTTGACACTTATCTTTAAGGACGAGGATCGATCGTTATACTTTTCTTTGTCAAATGCATTCTTTTGTAGGTGCTTCACCAGCGAAATTTGTGAGTATGGATGAATTAATGAAGATGTCAGAAGCATTGGAGAATATGGCACTGGTACATGAAATTGCAGTTAATCCCGAGTTTGTTATCGAGAGAAATTCAGCGAATCTAGTAGAGCAAGTGGTGGAAGACTGCATGAAAAAAGCTTACTGGGATAAACTGCGTGAAGACCTTACTCGGGTACCGCCAGATTACTCTTACGCCCTGGTTTTGCTTGATGATATCAAAAAGGTTACTTTTATACGCTTGGCTATTGTTGTTTGTGCATCTATGGAAAAATGTCATTATAGGTGTAGTAACGATGGAAGGCGAAAAAAAGGTTGTTAAAAATCAATACTAAAAGTATTTATGCTGCTAATTATAGCATGGTATTTCGATATCTTAAGTTATTTCTCCTGTCTTAATGCTTACATTTTCACGAGTTGTCTCACAGTCGAAAATTTAAAAGATTACAACTTAGGACAAAGGCAACAATTTGAAAAATCTATGCACCTGTTTCAAGTGTGAATTTTTTTACCTTCAGGTTTTCTTCACTTGTTTTTCATGTTTTACCTTACAGATGATATTGGGTCTTCTGACGCGACAGCATGTTCGTTTACGTTCTGAAATAGAATGTATGCTAGATATTGATTTATTAAGGCAACAAGCTGAAAATAAGTGCTTAGACGTACGTCAATTATTTGAAAGTATTATTGAGCTGTTGAGCAGACTCTGTGCGCCAGCAAGAGACAAAATGGTGAATGATTTGCGTAAGAAGACAGATAATGTAGATATGTTGAGGCAAGTTCATTTTTAAAATGTACGCTTTCCGTGATACCTAACTGAGATGAATTGTATTGTGAATGGAATTTTGCAGAGGTTTATGTGAGCTTCTGGATTTAATGAAATTGGATATGGCTAATTTTTTTGTGCAAGTTAATCGCTCTGTTGTTGAAAAGCATTCAGCTGAATATGAAAGGACTCAATTTACGAAGCTTCTCGACAGAAATCCAGGTTCGCAGAATTCTTTATCTGTTGAAAGTACATTAGTTATTCGAAAGTATTATCGAACTGTTGAGCAGCACAGAGTCTGCTCGAAACCTCTATAATACTTTCAAGCATTCAACTGTTTCCTTCCTGCACTGAAGTATGCAGAAAGGAAAAAGTTGAATGCTTGAATTTACACCAGTCCTAATCGTTCATTACTTTTATAAGTGCATAGGAAGTTTGCAAGTGTTAAACGGATCAGTGGTTTTTCATTCCGTTTCTTTCAGTTATAATTTTTATAGTTTTAGAGCTGGAATTGTCAACGATGGAATGGTTGTGTAGACATATAAGTATGACCAGTACAGATGGACCATCAGCTAAGAAAAGTTTCGAAGTAAATCTTGTATTTAATTCGAAATTTTCCACTTATGCTATTGATTTGTTAGAAAACTCATCAGTTTAGTTTTACAGGACTTGAATAACAGCGAAGTAAGTGATATAATAAGTAATGCATATATGGAATTGCTAGAATGGGATTTTCAATATACTTATCCCGAAACCCTCAAGGTATCGTTCCCTTTTTATGCAGTTCGTTATTTAAGTGATATAGATCAATTTGGTCGAAGAGTTGTGAAAATTGAACGGTTTTTTTTTTTGTCAGAATGCAAAAAAAAAGAAAGGATTTTCTATAATGATCATGTTATACAAAATAAGACTTCGAATAGTTGAAATTCGAAATCTTCATAGTCATATCAAGTTCGATATAAAAACAAAATGATTGATAGAATGACTGATAAAGATTGTCATCAAAGTTGTCTGTCTGAAGAAAAATCATGAAGGACATATAAAGCTTTGCTTATCAAAACGTTCAAAACATCATCTCACATTAATCTTGTAATTCTGTAGTTAATATTTTGGTTTTGTTTTCGGTTTTTTCTGGAATAAATAACAGCAATCTTCAGATGGTGAAATTCATATATATATATATATATATATATATATATATATATATATATATATATATATATATATATATATATATATATATAGTA